CGTCTGCTAGATACACCTATCGTGGATAAACGAAGGCCCTGAGTGCGCCGTTTATTCACAACCCAACGTATAGATAAACACACCGATCAGCGGTCCTTCATCATTGGTGCTCTCATTGAGAGGTGCTGATCGTGTCTTTATCTATCTATCTTTTTTTTCTTTTTTCGGTTTTGCCTTTTGCTGAGGGGACCGAATTTTTGTTCTTTTTTGTTCGAAATTTTCGAATTTTTATTCGAATTTTTCAATTTTTTTTTTTTAAAAGTGTCATCTTGTTAGTCCTTTGTTTGATTTTTGTTCGGTTATTACCTTTTGTTGAGGGGCCGAATTTCTTTTTTTGTTTCGATTTTTTTTAGTCTCGTTGGGGGTTCGATTTTTCGAATTTTGCCTTTTGTTCGAAATTTTCGAATTTTTTTTCAAAAAAAAAAGTGTCATCTTGTTAGTCCTTTGTTTGATTTTTGTTCGGTTATTACCTTTTGTTGAGGGGCCGAATTTCTTTTTTTGTTTCGATTTTTTTTTAGTCTCGTTGGGGGTTCGATTTTTTGAATTTTTCCCCTATTATTTTTTGAATTTTTAGAGTCAAAAAAAAAAAAAAAAAAAATTATGATGTCAAACCGTGAGAGGATTCAAGCGTTGGAAGACAACATGAAGATCATCGGCGATGGTCAACATGCTACCAACGAGAACATGGGAAGGATCGAACTAATGGTCCAGGACTTGGCCGGGGAGCTAACGCGCATGAACACGCGGCCAAGGAGGCATCACGGGTCGAGGTCCACGGCGACAAGCACCGGGACCGAGCGCGAGGACGATCGCCGATCGCGGGGCACACACGCATTGCGCGCAGATCACCACCACGACGGCCGACGACGACACGATGGACGCGCACATCACGACCGAAGGCGCGAGGAGGACGACGACTGGCGATCACACACATCGTACGCGTCGCATGCGACACACGACGAGCGGAGACCACATCGCGAGGGCCGACGACGGGATGAACGACGGGACGAGGGACATGCCCAATACCACGATCGCGACGATCCACGGGACGAGCGGGCAAGTAAGAGACTGAAAATTGTTAAGCCCACGTTCACGGGAACAGACTCGGATGCATGGTTGAGTCGAGCTGTGCAATTCTTTGAGATCAATGATGTGCCAAGGTACGAACGAGTACAAATTGCTGCTTATCACCTTGATGGAGAAGCAAACGTTTGGTGGCAATGGGTGGTGCACAAAAACCAGGGTGAGCACATGCGTTGGAGAGATTTTGAAAAAAAGCTCATCACGAGGTTTGGCTCGAGTGACTACCACGATTACAACGAGGCTCTGTCAAGAATCAAACAAGTGGGTAATCTAAGGGATTATCAAAAGGAGTTCGAACGCATTGCTAGTAGAGTGCGGGACTGGCCCGAGGCTGCGCTAGTGGGAACGTTTGTTGGGGGACTAAAGGCTGAGTTGGCAGCCGAGGTTAGGTTGGATAGGCCAGGATCGATGCGAGCAGCCATTGAGTCGGCTAGGTTGCACGAAGATCATCTCGTGGCGGTACGCAAGGCCAGGCCGAACGAAGTGCGCACGGAGACCAAGCGCACGGCTGAGGAGCAAGCGGCGCGAGCCGAAAGCAAGCCTTTGGGAGAAACCGTTAGGACGACGAGTGACATACGGCGACTTACCGACGAAGAGATGCAACGACGACGAGAAAAATGCCTTTGCTATTCGTGCAACGAAAAGTTTACGCCAGGCCACAGGTGCAAAGGTAAGGAGGTCTTTTTGTTGGAATTTGAGGAAGAGGGAGAACCACACGAGGAGACGCAATTACATATGGTTAAGTGCAAGAAACGAGGTCCAAAGATGATCAGGTTCACTGCGGAAATTAAAGACATGTTGTTGGAAGTGTTGGTGGATAGTGGATCGAGCTTTAATTTCATAGACGAGATGATAGCCAAGAGGTTGAAGTTAAAACCCACTAAGGTTAAGACATTTGGGGTCAAGGTAGCCAATGGACATGAACTTCAAGGAAATCAGTTATTCAAGAAGGTTCCAATAATGGCTCAAGACCAATTGTTGGAAATCGATCTCTATGCTTTACCACTGAGGGCAACGGATGTAGTATTGGGCGTAAAATGGTTGAAGACACTTGGGCCCATTACAACTGACTACAAGCGAGGAAAGATGGAATTTGGTCGACCGGGAAAGCGGATTAAGTTAAGGACCGAGGATCGAGGAGACTTGCCTATCGAAGAGGAGAGTGATGTGGAAGTATTGAATTTTCTGATCCTTGGGGACAAGGAAAGTCTCGAAGAGGAGGGGAATGATACGGAAGTGGAGGTTAGCACCGGCGAGGCTAATGGACTTGGAGGGCCAAATGGACGATTAACGAGTATGCGGGAATTGGACAGGACGCGCGCAAAAGGGATTGAAGTGCTAGGACGCGGGCAGAGGCACGCACATACGGTACGGGCGCGCGAGGCCTAGTCCTCGCGGGACTAGGCATGGCAAGGGGACGGCGTGCACGCGCAGGTGGGACACGGCAGGCGCGGCAAGGGCAAGAAGGCGCGCGCGTGCTGGGGCAGCGCGCGGGAGTCCTATGCGCAGTAGGCATAGGCGAGGAATGCAGCACGCACGCGCGCGAGGAGTTCGGCGCGGGGCTGGGGGGCGCGCATGGCAGCGTGTGCGACGCGCGAGGTGAGGCGGCGCGAGATTAGGGCGGCCGAAAGTTTGAGCATGTGAGGAGTTTTGGAGAGCATTCTAGAATTGCTTGGTGTGCAAGCCAAGCATTAGTTATTTGGTAGTAAGATTTTATTGCTTTCTAGCATTAGGATTTATTTTATTGCATAGAATAGGAGATCTAGATCTATTAGGCTTAGATTTATTTTGCAACTATAAATACCCCATGTACTTCATCATATTTTAAGTCTGGAATGGAGTATTGAATTGGTGAGCAAATTTTGAGGGGAACTTTATGTTCTAACGTGTGATAAACAAGGTCGTCAGTGCGTGTTTACATACAGTGTCGGAGAGAAGGCCCTGAGAGCGTCTCGAAGTCACAGTGTCTAGGAGAAGGCCTTGAGTGCGTCTGCTAGATACACCTATTGTGGATAAACGAAGGCCCTGAGTGCGCCGTTTATTCACAACCCAACGTACAGATAAACACACCGATCAGCGGTCCTTCATCACGTCCCCAGCACACGCGCGGTGCCTACCGCACCCGCCAGCGCACGGACAAGCCCAGCCACGTGCAAGCCAGCACCAGCAGCGCTCGGCAGCGCCTAGTGCGCGCGCACGATCGTGGTGGCCAGCCAGCGGCCGACCGCCCGGGCTCAGCGAGTCGGCAGCCCGGCCAGTCAGCGAACCAGCCGGTTCAAACCGGTTACTTGAGCAGTTCAGGACTCAGTGACCTGGTCCGAGTTCAGTACAGTATTTCAGTTAATTTTTCAGTCCAGTCAGTTCAGTATATCAGTTCCGGTTCAGTCCAGTTTTCTTGTCAGTCAAGTTAGACCATGAGATTATTCCAGTTAAATATCTAGATCAAGTCGATCATCTTAACAATTATTTTCAGTCAGTCTGAGCATAGTACTTAGTGTTTATTTATTTATTTATTTTTAGAGTTTGATCAGCCAACAACACTGACGTTTTCATACCAAAGTTCAGGTGGAGACTTAGACTGGGTATTACATTGATTATAATTACGGTACCATGTTTGAGGTATGTATCATGTTATATTATGTATCCGCTTGGAATGGTCGCCTGTCCATTCTGGGTCATCTTAGTTGTTTTGATTTTATTTAGAGTCTTAAAAAAAAAAGAGAGTCATGATGTTACCATTAGATGAGTTGGATCTGGAAGATCTTGAGTATCTCGAAGGTTTGGAGAGGGAATTAACCGCATGGGAGCAAGAGTCTTTGGAGGAGCTTCATGAGCGAAGAGATTGAGAGGGGCATGAACGACAACTCGTGGAAGCCAGGGAAGCTGAAGTGGCCAACGTTCAAAACAATGGTGATCAAGGTGCGTTAAATTTCATTATCCTTGAGAACAAGGAAAGTCTTGAAGAGGAGGGGATTGATACGGAAGTGGTTATTAACCCCGGTGAGTCAAGTGATAGCATGGTTGAAGATCTTGATTTATGGCTGGAAAATATGCTGGAGGAGGCATCTTGTCCGATTTACCGACCATCATGTGTGAGAGATTAGCCAAAAGGATGTGGTCCAAGGTTGAAGCTGAAGGCTAAGAAACGCAAGGCCAAGAGATGATGCAAGGCAAAGGCTAAGAAGGCAAGTCGTTGTTGTGGGCCTTGTGCGAGGAAGAAACGGGCATGGAGATCGGAGGCTCGAAGGCGAGGTAAGCAAAGGATGGAGGACAGTTGGACATGGAGTGCCGGAGATTGCACGGGAACGGAAGGTAGGTGCATGGAAGGATGGGACCCATGGGACGAGCCGGGTCCATCATGTAATAGCCCATTATGTTATTACTGTAAATTACGCGTTTAGTTTCGAAATATTTATTTTATCGATCATTATCCTTCAGAACTAATTATTCCAGTCAAGCACGTTCGACCAAATTTTTGAATTCACGTTTATGCTCGAAATATTTTTTAAGTATTGGAATTCACACTCTATGTAAAGAATTCATGTTCAACTATGTCTGTGATCGTGTGTCCTTAGCAAGATAAAATGTTGTGCTTAGCTTAATTAGTTTTCCCTTCAATAAGCACATCCTCAAGCCACGGTTAACACATTTAAAGGGCCGAGAATTTTGAGCCAACTTCACGTGAAATATCATCATGAGTGCTTAGCTAGGTGGCTTCTTTTTAAATGCCAAGGGATGACTAAGAAAGTGGCAAGACACCTAAGCCCTTCCACGCACGGCAAGTGGCGAGAGGTGATTGGCCATCATTTCTCCTCACAATTTTACCTTGATTCACCTCCATTCGTCCCTATAGTTATGTGAGGTACTTGGTAAATTTTACCTTACGTTTAACAAAAAATTAAGCCAAAGTTAAGAGGGAAAGTGAGAGTTTAGTCAAGCACGCACAGAACAATTCACGCACGCACGCGAGGTCACGAAGAGTCTCTTGCCTTTTTTCTAAGATGATATGATCATGTTCATCCATAATTAAGTAGTTAAGTTCATGAATCGACCGTAATAGCTCTCAGCCGTATCATATAAGCCATGTCTAGTCATGTTCGTCTTTGTCCGACAACTTACGAGCAATTCATGTTATATGATTCTTATGTGCCATTCCATGTTCACTTACATAATGATTGACGAAGGAAGTGGTCGATCGGCCGAAGGACTCGGTCGAGATCACGGGTTGCGCGGTAGTGCACGCCACGGCTTATTTATACTTCATCGGGTCAAGTTTATATTTATCGAGCAATTTATGCATATTTGATTATGTTATGTCACGTCATGTTGATTCATGTTGATATCACCGGAGGAAGTTGTCGGACGGCCGGTAAGGCTTGGCTGTGGTTTCCATGCCCGCACGTAGTAGGCACAGCACCCCGTCAGTCAGATACAGTACGCGGGTGGCGTGCGTGCATGCCCAGGCGGGCGTCGCGCATAGCCCTGCCTGCAGCAGTTGATAACTGGCCAGCGCCTAGTGCACGCCAGCACGTCCCTGCACACGCCAGTGCGCACCATCGTGTGCCAGTCGGCATTGGGTAGCGCTCGACAGCATGCCCGAGTGTCCAGTGTCGTCAGGGTCGCTCGGCAGCGCCCGATGGGCACCAGTCATGCTAGCCACGCACGCAGAGTCCATGCCAGTCGCATGTTGCTGCGCCCGGTAGCGCCCAGCAGCACCAGCCGCGCAAGTGCCAGTGCCCATAGCGCTCGGCAGCGCCCCAGCCATGTCCGCGATGCGCCAGTCGCACGCCAGCGTCCCAAGACATGCCCAGACAGGCCAAGGTCACGCCAGTCGTAACCAGTGGCACGCCCGCGTGCGCAGAATGCCATGCCAGTGCCCAGTACTGCTCGGCAAGGCCGACAGCAGCCATGCTACGCCCAGTCAATGTAGCGCCCGCGCCTGCGGCCTTAGCAGGCCGGTTGGCCGAGCCAACGGCCGACAGCCCGGCCACAGCAGGCTAGCGGTCCGGCCAGATCCCAGACCGGCTGGTTCATACCGGTTTAGTTCATGAATTAATGTTCTATGTCCCGATTCATGTTTATGTCCCATTTTTCAGTTAAATTCCGGGTCCAGTCCAATTCAGTAAATTCATGTCAGTCCAGTTCCATGTTAAGCCGGTTCCGGTTATACCAGTTAAGCTCAAGTATCATTTCAAGTTCCAGTAGAGCATCTTAACATATTAAACAGCTATTTTAATCAGTGTGAGCATAGTACTTAGTAATTGTTTATATTATGTTTCAGTTTGATCAAGCTACTGATTTCAGCACTACCTTTTCATATCGACGGATCAGACGGGGACTCAGACTGGGTATTACATTGATTATAATTATGGTACCATGTTTGAGGTATGTATCATGTCATGCTGTGCTATGTATCTGCTTGGAATGGTCGCCGGTCCATTCTGGGTTCTAGTGGCCGAGTTTGCCCACTAGAGTGTGCACATGGTGTCCGACATTTTTATGCTGGCAGATGAGGCAACGGTTATAAGGCAACGGTTCATGTTATGGCAATGGTTTACCGGTATCATGCTATGTTATGTTTTGTTTATGTATATACCAGGATCATGATATTGCAAGTATTTTCACTATTTACTTTTGTATGAGTTCCTACGGAGCATAGTGGACTTTAGGGCTCACGCCCCATGTTATCTATGTTTTTCAGGTCACAGGGTCGGAGCCGAGTAGTGAGCTGGCGGACGGTTCAGGATTTTGTTTATATGTTTGAATTTGGCATAGCAGTGTTGTTACTATCTCCCGTAGTGGAGTTTAAAATGTTTTGCCACACTACGTTTCCGCTGATTTCGACTGTTTGCCAAACTTAGCCTTTTGATCCGATTACTAGTCGGGTTGTTTACATTATGATAAACCATTTTTCTTATAAACTAAATTAACGGTTTTCCAAGTAAAGTCATTGTTACGGTAGCACTCCGAAACATGATTTCGCAAACTAATCAGTAATTTTTATGAAAAGGTTTTGCGAAAATTAAACTCTGATATATATGACATAGCGGGGTGTTACAGTTGGTATCAGAGCACGTTTCTGCGTCTCTGAAAATTTTATGAGCCAGAAATTTTTCAAAAAACCTGAACACGTCATGCTCACGCCTCGCCGACTACAGGTAA